GAGTGTTTCATCTCATTTGGATGTTTGTTTTCTTGTTCTTATTTTAAATTTTCGGGCCTCGGCAAATCCAGACTTTTGGACCATCGGGGGAAGCCATAAGTGTACCTACAGAAGCTGGTATTTTGCGGGTTTTTTTTCTTTCATGTAGCAAAACTGCTTGAAAATACTGCTAATTTGTCTTTTGCTTCTTCACATCCACAATTTGTCAGCTTTTTTTAGATCAGCAGTGAATAAGATGGAAATACGGAAGTTTGAAAAATCTGGCGGCAATGTGGAAGCCAGGCACAAGGCTTGTAAGAAGCGCTCATTGTTATGTTTGCCAACAAAACGACAATATTTGCGTGCATTTGGCTCGCTAACTTCTGTTGCGCGAAGTTACGGTGGCCAGGTGAGTGCTTACTGTTAGGTTGGAACAGTTGAAATCATTTTACGATTCACTGTTTGTGGGAGGCATAGATGCTCGGAAGTACTTTTACTGATAACATATGCCGAAAGCAATCAGCTGTTGATGGGGTTGCGAATAATTCTTTTTTAAGAGTGTTATTTTAGTAGCAAGCTAAATACGGCTTTCACCGGAATGCGCCACTACAAATTTACCAGCAAAATGAGCAAATAAGGGATTGTTTTTCTTACTGGTAAAATCGAGCTCTTAAGTTTTGGCAAATTTACTCCATATTTATCGTTTGCTCAGTTTGCAGAAAATAAAGCGTTGAGATGAACAAACATTAGGGCGTTTTTTGTAAATAATATATTTCGATAACGCAAATCATCTCCTGCAATAATCCCTGTTTTTTGGGGGGATGAGCGTGGGTAAATAGCTACTTATTTTTGAACCGAACTCAAGTGGAATGAGCGACTTTTGCAAAAATTAAAAAATCGCTGTTCAGCACTGAAAACCGACAACTTACGACCTGTTTAATCCTTTTTTCCTAAATTTTCATGTTTCCTGACAGATCCTTGCTGGGATCTTCTATCAACTCCCACATCGTACATTTAGGAAGCATTTTAATAATATTTTTTCCTTGTGTTATTGTACTTTTCAGGAACGCTGTAGTATTTGTCTGGAAGAATATAAAGAAGGCCAAGAACTACGGGTGTTGTTTTGCGGGCATGAATTTCACCCGAAATGCGTTGATCCGTGGTTGCTTAGCAATAGGTAAGAAGCTACTTGAATTTTAAAAAAATTCGAAGAAATCATAAATTCTAATTTCCCAGCTTTTTAGCTAATTTTCCATCCGTCAAGTTTAATATGCGCATCGGTACATATAATGTTTAGATCGATTCCTTATTACTGACTGTAATATTTGATGTGTTGTTTTAAGCTCTGCTTTGGCATATTTGTAGTGCATTGTTCCCTCATGGTGCACTTTCGATACAGCGGAAGCCTTCCGGTAATTCTTGATATCCAGCCGTGTTAGCATTTTTCCCGTAGAAACTTTCATCTGCCCGTATTAAGGATTTAGGCCTGCGTATACATTGGTACCGCTTCCTGGGATAGCATTTGGCCTGAGGAACCACCGGCATAATTTCACAGCATTAAAGCGTGCCTGCTTGCTGAGTTGAAACATCCAAACAGACGCACGCGAGCACATACGATGAATCGTTACAGTATGCATCTTTGCATTTGCATAAGTACGTAAAAGTGCATAAAAAAGTGCGCGAATGAAATAATATTGCAGGCGGTGTCCATTGTGTCAGTACGATGTTGTTTACAAGGAATATCCAAAGACCGAAAGCGCGACGAAAAATTTTCGGACAAAGTAGGTCTCAGTTTTCTTGAGTTATGCAGCTGCTGATTCCGCAGACTGTTTTTTTTAATGCGTTTTTGCTGTGCAGCGCTATAGCGCTGCTACAGCCAGCAAAAACGCATAT